TGTGTGTTTATTTATTTATTTGTTTGTTTGTGTGTATGCATGTGTGTTTGTGTGTTTATTTATTTGTTTGTGTGTATGCGTGTGTTTATTTATTTGTTTGTTTGTGTGTATGCGTGTGTTTATTTATTTATTTGTTTGTTTGTGTGTATGCATGTGTGTTTATTTATTTGTTTGTTTGTGTATGCATGTGCATGTTTATTTATTTGTTTGTTTGTTTGTGTATGCATGTGCATGTTTATTTATTTGTTTGCTTGTTTGTGTGTATGCATATGTCTATGTTTATTTATTTATTTGTTTGTTTGTGTGTATGCATATGTTTATTTATTTATATTTTAAACATTTGTTGGTTGAAATCAACAAATTAATTTTCACAGGGAGCAAGAGTTTCTTTTTGAGCTCTTTGATGTTGTCCTTTCAATTGTTTGTGTAAGAAATATATTTTTAGTTTCTTATTTGTGGTATTATCTGGCAAATGGAGATGAGGAAGTGTAACTGCTATTTATAAAATCATAGTTTTGACTCTAGACTCTGAATAGATGAGCCTCGTCCCAAAGCCTTCATAAAAAACGTATAAATGTGGCTGCGCATTCTATGTTAATGAAAAACTTAATACATTTCATGGCAACCATAAATATCCAGTTAATGAATTATATTGCTTGGCGGAAGAAGTATTCATTTATTATGATGTCGTTATTAATAATGCATTTATACAGTTTATTGAACTTTGCTGTATTTGAAAAATTTTTCACCTCTTTTTTTATTAAAAGGAATAAAGCAGTTCTTTGATAAAGCTTTCTTTGAAATCGGAAGATTTGGTGTAGCACAGTTTCCTCCTCTAGATGGAGACTTCGCATAGCGATTTCTTTGAGCGTTTCTTTCAAAAACGAAATTTTTAGCATGTTTGATAGTGAATTAGTTGAATGTTTCTTACAGAAAGAGCGCCGTCCTCCACAGAATCAGTCTGCACAGGACGAGGATCTCAGCTCTGAGGTAAAATCCCTGTTCAGAGATCCATTGTTTGATTCACATTTTACTAAAATCAAATTAAGTCTGAAATCCTTAATACATAGCTCTGGAAGAATGGCCCAGTGAAGGGCAACACAAGTGTTGTGACGGTGTAATGAATAGACATATTGATTTGCAGCAGCAGCTCACATGCTAGAGAGCAGAGCAATGAATATTGCGGCGAGATGCTGTTGAATCTGTCTTTCCGCTCGCTGACTGCTGTTTCTGCACGTCTACCCAAATCAAACAGCATCCTCATGAATATTAATGCTGTGGATCTCTGCAACACACAGCAAACCTCGGGAGCCCATGACCAATACTAAAACACTCCGGCTCTGTCTCTGCGGCTGGATACAGAGATTCACAACTTCTGAATACTTCACTTAGTTTTATGAACCACTCTGAACTGAAGTAGTAGGCCAGACTTTTCTTACAAAGTTTTTTTTTTGATACATTCATGCAGTGTCGGCAAAACATCACTCATTGGACTGTGTCATATAAATGTCAGCCACTCAAACTTAATACTGTTATTAAAACGGTCATTATTTTCATTGTATTGCTGCTCGTAAAGTGGTAGGGACTGTGAAACAAGCGACTGGTTTTTATATCAGCGCTTTCTTCATCACTGAGTCTCTTTCTCTCTCTCTCTCTCTCTGTAGGCGGTTTACACCAACAGCAGTGTGGATGAACGCGCCGAGCCTCTGGAAGAGGAAGAGCACACATATGAACTCTTAGTCACCGCACAGACCAAAATCCCCAACAACACACAAAGCAAAGCAGGTACACGCTCATTTTCCATGAGACCTCACATAAACCTCATAGATTTGCCTCACTTCTTTGTTTGTTAAACACGATGAGCTAATTCACATATGCCTTTCCCATACATACATACCAGTGTCGTCAAGGAAAATAACAACTACCACATTATATTATACTAGAACAGATGTTTTATATTTCTAGTCTTTCTTTAAAATAATCAAACCGTGATGACAAAACGGTATTGTTTTTGTAAATTACGATGAATTATAATTATTCTAGTATAAAAAAACTAGAAATGCCATCTAGGCAACTAACTGAAATAAATGCTTGAAGTTGAAGTAGTAAAAGTAAATAAATAATAAAAATGGTAAAAAATAAAAATGGTAAAATCACATAAAAGGGATTTAAATATAAGCTGGAAAAAAAAAAGTTGAAGTACTAAGGGTAATATAATATAAAAATAAACGAATGTATATCTGCGGTAATAGAACATAAATAATACTAATATATCATTAGTTGACATCTTAAAAGTGAAGGAAATCAGTATGTCTTAAATTGTCAGGTCACACTTTATTTTAAGGTCCAATTCTCGCTATTAACAAACCATTAACTCAGTCTTTTGCCTCAGTAAGCTCCTAATGTGCTGCTAATTAATAGTTAGGAAGGTAGTTGTTAAGTTTAAGTGTTGGGTAGGATTAGGGATGGAGACTATGCTCATGCAGAATATGTGCTTTATAAGCACTAATAAACACCCAATATGTTAATAATAGGCATGCTAATTAGCAGCTGGTTAATAGTGGGAATTGTTCCCTATACTTAAAGTGTTACCAGTTGTCATAAAGTTGTCAGCCCTTTATTTGAATAACTTTAAGTCTTTATCCCCAGATGTGGACGTCTCAGCCAAGTCCTCCAACAGTGTCCTACCTCAGGTGAGAATATTACTGCTTGTTAGGCTCGAGCTTTGTTCCAAAACCTCACTGCCTACTACTGTACCTACATAGGCAGCTGCCTTATAAGGCAACATGTTATTTGCTATGACGCCTCACAAGTGAGTGATTTATAACATTTTAGGCAGCAGCACATATCGCTTCACACAAGACTCGAGATTCACACTACGTTCCAGTAGAATTTGATATTAGCATGTTGCTAAGCCAATAGCTTTTTACTCTGGGGGGAAAACGAAACGAAGTATACAGCACACACAAGTATTTGGTGAACATTTTCAGTATTGAAAGAAACAGGCTTATTTATAACCAACATTTCACTTGTTTGCCATCTTGTATTACTTGTTTTTGATTAGCTTGGCGTAGAGATTTTGGATTGCCACCTTTGCAAAAGATGCATGGTATGCTTCCTTAGAATTTGGCTCTAAGGAGGCAGAATAATTGAGTTTCCTTGTGGATCCCATGATGCTTTAAAATGCTGCCTGCATAGGAAGCTCTAAGGTTTTGGAATAGAGCTTTGTTGTTCATTACTTTTTTTTTGTTCTTTTTTTTGCTGCAGTCTCACATCTGTCACGCTGTCCGAACACTGTCTAGTGTGCAGTAGACCGTTAATTATCTCCGTATGCAGCATCTGTTTTGTGTGTGTGTGTGTGTGATATAGACACTGTTTTGTGTGTGATTGTGCATCTGACAAAAGCTAGGCATTCCTTAATATGCAGATATTGGTGTTATTTTTTGCAGCGAAAGACCACTGCACACATTGACCTACGACCTTCAGGGTCCAACACAAACACTCTGCAGCCGCCTGCACCTCATTTTAGCACAGGACAGACGTCTGGAGGTGAGTGTGTGCATGTGTGAATGCTTAAGGAGCTTACTTGCTAATGACGCTGTAAAACTCCAAATTATTCTTTATGGTGTTATTGCCATGGTTGAATAGCTATAACCATTTGAGTGACAAATACTATTTAGCAGTCAAAAATGTATCAAGCAAATGAAGACAACACGTTCTCTACTCTGTAAAATGCTTGCCATCTGTTTAAGACTTAGACTTTTGGGCTGTCTTTAAAGGAATAGCTCTTTAAATATAATTTACTCACCCTCGTGTCATTTATATGGAGCCCCTAAAGGGACATGGGGAAAACAATGACACGGGAGGGAAATTATATTTCAATGCTGTTGCGTTGTTTAACGAAACCTTTGAGTTCCCTTAGCATTTACCTGTTAACCTTGTTTTAAGTGTTAATTCGTTAAACTTTTGCATTCCCCCAAGAAACGTTTGCGTTCGCTCCTAAAACTTCTGTGATTGCTCATAAAACTTCTGCATTCACTTGATAAACTTTTGTGCTTGTCAGCAAAACTTTTGCAATCATTTGCAAAATGTTACGTTACAGTACGTTCTCTCACAAAACATTTGCATTTCCCTGATAAACTAGCATTTGCTTGTTAAACTTTCGCATTCCCCAATGTGTTTGCACACTAAAATTTTGTTTGCTCATTAAAGTTGTTTAATTATTAAACTGTTGAATTCACTTGTTAAACTTTGCATTCCTCCAATAAAATTGAGCTACACTTGCTAAACTTTTGTTTGTTCGCTAAACTTTTGTTTGTTCGTTAAACTAAAGTTTGCTAAACTAAAGTTTGCTTGTTAAACTTTTGTATTCCTCCAATTAACGTTTGCATTTGCTCTCTAAACGTTTGCATTTGATTATTAAACCTTTGTTTTTGCTCACTAAACTTTCGGTTTTGTTCACAAACTTAAATTTTTGTACGCTAAAGTTGTTTTTCCTCATTAAACTTTTGTTTTTGCAGGCTAAACTTTTGTTTTTGCTCACTAAACTTACATTTTTGTTCGCTAAACTTAAATTTTTGTTCGTTAAAGTTTTATTTTTGTTCGTTAAACTTTTGTTTTTGCAGGCTAAACTTTTGTTTTTGCTCACTAAACTTTCGGTTTTGTTCACTAAACTTAAATTTTTGTTCGCTAAAGTTTTATTTTTGCTCGTTAAACTTTTGTTTTTGCAGGCTAAACTTTTGTTTTTACTCACTAAACTTTCGGTTTTGTTCACTAAACTTAAATTTTTGTTCGCTAAAGTTTTATTTTTGTTCGCTAAAGTTTTATTTTTGCTCGTTAAACTTTTGTTTTTGCAGGCTAAACTTTTGTTTTTGCTCACTAAACTTTCGGTTTTGTTCACTAAACTTAAATTTTTGTTCGCTAAAGTTTTATTTTTGCTCGTTAAACTTTTGTTTTTGCAGGCTAAACTTTAGTTTTTGCTCACTAAACTTTCGGTTTTGTTCACTAAACTTAAATTTTTGTTTGCTAAAATTATATTTTTGCTCGTTAAACTTTTGCGTTTGCTCGCTAAACTTTTGCGTTCTCTTGCCAAACTTTGTGTTCCTCGTTTGTGATGGAAAATAATTAGTGGAGGGAGAAAAAATATATATATTTCAATATATTTCATTGCTTTTAACCTTTTCCTACTATTATATTCATGTGGCATATTTTTTTCATTGCTGTATCCCCTTTTTAAATTTTAACAAATGTTTGTGCTGTTCCTTTCCATGCAAGTTCCAAAGATTAAACTCCACAAAAGTACCACAAAAGTGCTCATTTTTGGTTGAACCATTTCAAAATATCTGCATTTGTCAACAGTTTTGGAGCGAGAATATTGGTAGGAGAATAATGCAAAGTGGACACATTTGTTATGTCCCTGTGCATCTGTCCCGATTTGTCTCTGTGTCCCTCCCTGATCCTCCTAAAGTCATCGCTCAGAAATCTTTGCCTAACTTAGAACAATGTTTACTCAGTGTAACACGACTCTAGTTAGCATTACCAAGAGAAGGCCTTTGCCACTCTACTACTCTAAAGGTGACTCTTATGAAGACATGATGAGAACAGACATATAAAGCCATTATATTGTAGAATGGTACAAAATGTTTGTAATATGGTTGCTTTTTCATAATATTGTTGAGTGTGATAAACGTCAGTGTAATTTATATTAACGCCCCGCACTCTCCTCGTGTTTCAAAACAAACAGCAGAAACGTCTCTCCTCGTCTCCATGCCAAGCTTCATAGACCTCAGCTGCCACCTCCACAGCCGTGCTGCGCTCAGCACCTGTCTATTACGCTGCAGGAAATCGGCCTGTAGAAACACACTAGCACACACCCAAATAACAGGGTGTGAGCTCGTCATATTTCTCATGTCAGGGTCTCACAGTGGGCTCCATGCGTTGATGTATTGAAAACGTGAAGGAGGGTCTAACCTTAGTGCTTTGGAGATGAAAGCTTCACCCTAAGTGCAAAATCGTGTTGTGTGTTTTAGACGTCTCTTCCCTCTTTTAATAAACGCTGCTCACTGTTGGCACGCGCTTAGAAAGCTCTTTGCACTTAGCCGAGGGGATCACAACAGCTGAAGGATGAAGTCAGCCCTGTTACTCTAGAACATTCTGAGGGGTGACATTACTTCAGTTCATCAGATGTCAGCACTGCTGAAGTGTGCTTGGCTGTGTTCGAAATGGAAAAAGTAGCATGCAACTTAATCAGTACAACACTGCATTCTGCCTGCTGTTTAAAAAATAGTAAGTGAAATAGTAGACATTCCTAGTTATAGTAGCTATTGATGTAACGCGATTTCATCAAGGTATTATAGATGCACTTCCATTAAGAAAAAAACTAAACAAACAAAAAACACTTGGTTTACAGTTCTTAGCTGGTTTAGACTGGCTTAGCTGTGGACACAGGCTGGCCAGGCTTGTTTTGGCTGCCCCTCTAAAACCAGCCTACAGACCAACTGACCGAACTGTAAGACTGGAAAATGAGCTCAGGCTTGTTCAAGACACTTTTATAGCAGGAAAGCAATATTGATCAATGTTATATAATTTAATTCAGTACTGAACATCATTGAAAAAAACTGTGCATTCCACTTGAAAAAATTGCTCAAACAAGCCTAAAGCCGGGGACACACCAAGACAATGGTCGGCCATTGGTGAGCATCTGTCGGGCTATAGTGTGTTTGGTGTGTTCCACTCATTGTCTCTCGTCGGGCTCACATCGGCGGTAGCTGTAGTCATGGTGGTGTGTTCAAGTGCAGCTTTTTGGTCCAGATGCCGGCGATGCGACAACACCATTGGCTTTCGTCACCGCTAGTTCTTTGAAGTCGGCTTGGTGTGTCCCGGCCTTAAGAAGAACTTGACTGGTTCAAAATGATTTTCCAGCCTGATTGGTTTAAATTAACCCAAACCCCTCTAAAACCAGCCAACAGACCAGTCTGACCAAGATAGGAGACCAATTAAAGGGTTAGTTCACCCAAAAATGAAAACTCTGTCATTAATTACTCACCCTCATGTCATTCCAAACCCGTAAGACCTTTGTTCATCTTCAGAACACAGATTAAGATGTTTTTGATGAAATCCGAGAGCAAAAAAAATCCTTTTTGACCCTCCATAGACAGCAAGGAAACTACCACTTTAAGGCCCAGAAAGGTATTTAGGACATCGTTAAAATAGTTAATGTGACATCAGTGGTTCAACTGTAATTTTATGAAGCTACGACAAAAATTTTTGTAAGCAAAGAAAACAAAAATAACCACTTTATTCAACAATTCATATCCTTGTGTCGCGGCTGACACAGAAGAGCGTACGCTGCTTGCGTTCAGCGGATATTCTCCAAAATGGTGATGCGGAGGGACACAGAGGAGACAAATTGTTGAATAAAGTCGTTATTTTTGTTTTCTTTGCGTACAAAAAGTATTCTCGTCGCTTCATAATGTTACAGTTGAACCACTGATGGCAGATGGACTATTCTGACGATGTCTTTCATACTTTTCTGGACCTTGACAGTGTAAGTTACTTGGCAGTCAATGGGACAGCCACAAGCCTCCCGGTTTTCATCCAAAATATCTTAAATTGTGTTCCGAAGACGAACAAAGCTTTTATGGGTTTGGAACGACATGGGGGTAAGTGATTAATGACAAAATTTTCATTTTGGGGTGGAGTATATCTTTAAAGTGTTTCAAATCAGTTTAATTTTAGTGTGTGGTCACATTTACCAGTGCTTGCCAAAATTGTGCACATTTGTTCAGTTGATTCAATAGAAATCTGTATATTCGGGAGTTTCACATGAGGGCAAAAAAGTTCCCAATGCAGATTTCGCTCATGTTAAAATTTGGTCATAAAAATTCACCACGATAAAAGTGAACCTCTGTGAACTTCTTTGAAAGTGACTTCTTTGTGAGCAGTGCTTCATACATCACTACAATATTGACAGTGTACAATTTTTGTATAAATTTTTTCCGAAATGTCACGAATCAGTGTGACCGCACATTAAGACATTGCATAGACAGAAGACTTCAAGGTACTTTGGCTTGGAACATGCTCACACTTCTTTTATTTCATTGAACATTGAATGATTTAACCAGTGCATGCTTGTAGTTACTGGAAACGAACATGTTGTTTGAGTAAACACCTGACTTTCTCTTGGAGAAATGCTGGCTAAAGCCTTTGGTTTGGATGGAGAACAGCACTGACTTCATCTTCTCCAGAGGGCCTTGTTGATTTAAATTGACATCACAGGTTAGGTTTCGGGTCACAAACGCAAACACAGACTCGAGTCCCAAGCGGCCTCTGTGTGTATGTTTTTAGGTGTGTCACTTGCATGAGGAAAGTGATTGGCCTCATGGTTCTGTATGTTCCTCCAGCACACACGTCAGTGCCTCACAGAGTGGGCGGTGTATTCAGTCCCAATGCCTTGGAAAACTTAAGAGATGAAGTTCTCAGGAGGGAGTTGCTGCATTGTAGTTTAGCGTAAACCAAATATTAGAGTCGAGTTGAGTTCACTTGAACAGAAACTCACATTACCACAAAGGTCCCAATGCTCTGATTTTGCTTCGAGATCCAAATTTTGCTTTGGACTTAAAAGTGCGACCCAAAGGTTAGTCTTGGTCATTTTTTTTTCTGCTTATGTAGTTTTGTGCACTCTTTTCAAGAATGTAAGCTCTTTCAGGTAATTACTGTGAAAGTGGGGGTAAAATATAAAATTTTTTGCTATTTCTCCATTCATTTTGACAGAAGCTGGACTTTGTTTAACTGTTGACATGCTTGTAGCTAGCTATCTAAATAAAAATAAATCCATTTTATAGACACCGACATCTGAAAGTAACAGTGTCGCCTCCTTGAGGTTTGTTACCGCCTCAGTAATGCAAGATTGTACTATGTAAAACTATGTACAGTGTTACAGGTGCATGCAATGTGTTTGTGTACTTGCGTACATAATGTTTCTGGCCTTAGGCTCTGACATGGCTGACTTGGTTTTCTTGTCACCGAACACCACATGCGACACCAGGATATCTCTGGTATGGTGGCTGTTTGCCCAGCCGCCTAGCTTGTATCACGGACCTGGGGTTGGATATATCTCTTATTTTGTATGTGTGTGTTTGCCAGAGGAGACGTTTCAGGCAAGTGCAGTGCATATACAGAAGAAAACCCAACCAGACGAGTACTTTTCACTTGTCGCATTTGCAAATATACACTTGGAGTGTTTGTCCTTGTAGTTCATTCAACATTCTCGCCAGAAGCCATCTATACAAGAGCACACATAAAACAGACGTGAATATATGGGACAACAAATTGCGATTGCACAGTCCCACTGTACATGCTTACGTTTCTGTTAGGGATGGGCATATCGATCCTAAGTATCGATATATCGATACTGACGCGAGTATCGAAAGTATCGATACTCAAACTAAAAATATCGATACTAAGGTGTGTTTTATTTACCAATGATTTTGTTTATTTAAAATAATAATAATAATGCATACAAATGCATTGAATTGAACAGATAACCTTTGTTCGCAAGTAATTGTGTAGGATAGAATTATTTTCCTGTAGCGATAGTAAACCCCAGTCATAAAGGGGGCGATAGAGTTTCCTAAATGTTTGTCTAGCTGCAAAATCACATAAGGTCTGAGTAGCTCCTACATTTAATGAAGAACTTTGTGCTTTTAAAGGCTCATGAAACCCCAGACTACTTTTTCTGAGATTTTAGCAGAGGTGTTTGTGTTGCACATCATAGAAGACAATGTTAGCATCCGATAATTTTAACTGTTGCCGAAAACTGGTTAATTTTAAGCTTTTTTGCGCTATTTTTATCTTCCAGGTTTAAAATCTACATCGTGTTGACGTCACGATTTGTGACGTGGCAATGGACTAATAGTACATCGATGACGCGTCGGTGTCTATTAAATTATTCATGAGACTGCGTGTTCTTATTCTATGAGAAGACGCTTCGCTTAATTATTCACAACAGCATGTGTTGATTTGCTATGACAGACGTTTCAGACTGTGAGATTGCGTACATTATCTGAGAGAAACGTTCATGGATTGAAGAAGAGTGTTTGTTTGTGCTTTGTAATAAGAGTTCGGCACAAACGCGATTCATTCACTTGGTGAGCATAACCGTTTTTACAGCTCTGTGACACAACCCGTCAAAAGGCTTATAAAAACGCCACAGAATAAGCATTAAAAGTTATCAGAGGTGCAGCAGCGCATTCATATATATGTTTTCGATGCAGAGTGCAAATGGCTATGAATTTATTTGTGTTTTTAACGTTTTTAGCGTTTTTTTTTTAACTGTGTTGAGAACTAACCAGTGCTGAAACAGGGGGTTTCGTGACCCTTTAAAAAAAAGCATAGTCTAAATAGTATGAATATGACTTGTATGAATGAAATTCAGACATACTACATCCGCAATGTTGTCATTAACTGCGATTCCATTACCCTTCAAATTGTGCAAAGTTGCGAATTGAAAATATGGCCAATGGAAAGACGTCAGTTTCGCAAAAACTTTGCAAGCAAGTTTTTACGGTCGCATGAAGTGGTTTTTCAGGCAATTCAAAAAGGAATATTTTGCAAAACTGCAATGGAAACAGTTTTTTTCGCATTTACAGGTCACCTGGCATACTTAAAAATCACATGATTATTTTTTAATGTACTATAACCTCCAAGAAACACTTCATACATGGCCACTCTCAAGTATAAGGGGCTTTTCTTGCCATTAATGCTTGGATGACCCCTTATTTACTTTGCACAGGTCTGTGGCGCATTACGGCTCCTAAATGGCCACCGAATGCTGATTTCGGCAATTCTAGTCAATGCTTGTGTTTATACCAGCTGCGCTGTGGCTTGTTTCAGAAGTGACTCTCCTTCGACCTTCGATTAAAAATAATGGATACGTTGTCATTTCGCAATAGTTTTTTTTAAACATATATAGAATATTGCAAGTTTTGCGCAAATCTGAAATGGAAACGCACCTACTGTCACATGGGCGCCGCTTGTGTCGCTTTACAGCCAACTCCACTCCCATAAGTAAACTGTCCATCAAATGCACACTTCAGAATGCCAAAGGGGTACTTGTCGCCTACTGTTCACTTTCAGAAAACAATGTGTGCAACAGCTTGTCACTGGGGCAGTACCCTCAAAGTGACACCTTTGTAACTTATTTATCCTTGAAAGGTTCATTATAATACCATATGAGTACATACTACTACCTTAATGGTACATATTACTACTCTAAGGTGCTAGTATGCACCCTTTAGGGGTAAAAATGGTACAAAGGTGTCACTTTGAGGGTATTGCCCCAGTGACAAGCTGTTGTACCCCTAAAGGTAAAATAACTGCACTTTTTTTTTTTGACAGTGTTTATATACTATGAATTCATAAGTTTTTCACCTGCTATATATTAGGGAAGTAGGAATATTCAGATTGAAGGTTGATGTTATTTTCTATAAAATGTATATATAACAATAACTGTGTTCAGCCAGATTCTGTATAAACTTTTCCTCCGGCAGGACAGTAGTTGTCCTAAAAGAGAAAAGTGAGCGCAGAGGACAATTTCCGCTAATGTACACTGTAGCGCCCCCTGTGGCACTGAGAATGCAACTCTCTTTGAAATCAAGCTTGCATTGAAGTATTAATGTACTTGCCTATAGTATGTTTCAGGCCAGAGAGAGAGTGTATGTTCTGGTGCTGTGAATGTGCTGTTCTGGGAGAAGGATTTTTCATAATCACAAAGCAGGGATTTAATTTTTAAGAACCCAACGCATAACGGTGTGGCAAAGGGGTGTTTGAGAGAAAGAGAGAGCGAGTGTGTTTATTTCACAGTCATCTCTGTGGTATCCTGTTTCAAGCTTGCCACTCATAATAAAGGGGAATCCTTAGTGAGGCATAACTTCTCTGGAAGCAAGCCTTATAAAGCTGTGTGCTTGTTAGCAGTTGCACAGCGAGTGAGAGAGAAACAAGGAATAGAACAAGCAAGTCAGCTATCTCTATGCAAGCTATCTCTATGGAGAAAAGTCAGCTGCTCATAGCCTGCGCTTGGAATTTTCTAACACAGGCACTTTGGAATTGGTGAGCCCAACTTACTTTCTTTCTGCATTTTTTTCTCCCTCCCTTTTCCAGTCAGAAAACAAAACCAGATCTGTTTCAGGCACTGGACAGTAGTGGAGTGGGCGGTTTCATGTTATCTGGTCTAGATACGGCTCCACAGTCCGCCTGTAACTCTCTCACTCTCTCTTCTGTTCTCTTGACAGAGAGCTCCTCGCACGGTCAGGATATAAGCGCTGCCGTTCCTGAACAGTTCACTGGTCTGCTTCACGGTTCCTCACCAGTGGTCGACTGTCGGGAGGAAGCATTCAGACTGCCGTCCTCTGGAGTGAAGTCCGGCGAGGCTTCCAGCACTTCGACATCTGCCAGCTCCGCCCCCCTTCCCCATCCCAAATTGGCGGTCACCGTGGAAACCATTCTCCAGGACACTGACCCCAAAGCTATCTACGCCACGGTCCACAAAGAGCCAAGGGATTCTTCGTCGAAACACAACTCACCGGCGCGCGATTCTCCGCTGACGAGAAGGATGCCTCCGCCGGGTGATCTCAAGCTAGCGCGTAGCCTTTCGAAGTCCGACTCCGACCTGCTGGTGTCCCCACCTGGTGAGGAAGAGACGGGGTTGGGCGGCCGAAGTGAGTCGGTGTCCAACTGTAGCACCACCAAGCGAAGACTGGAAAAATCACCTTCGTTCACTTCAGAATGGGACGAGGTAAGAGCTCCCCCTTGTGGCCTGGATGTACCATTCTTCTTACATTGTACACAAACTCAAATTAATAGGAATAAATCAGAATTTCGAACACCAACATTTTTTAAATGCCGTTGGATGAAAGCGAAAATGAGCAGAAAATCCTAAACAATTTTGTCTTTTGTTGTGTATTCTTTAGCACTTTGTTGTTGTAGCATACTGGAGAGTTTACATTAGACTAAAGTCAGTTTGAGGTTTATAGAGTGGGGGAACTGTGACGTCAGAATCCGGAAATGTAATTCGCCGTGGGATCCTTCGAGATTTTCCTATGGGGATTTATAATGGGTTTTTTCAATTAATGAGTAAAATAAAGCTTGTGGTAAACACAACTTGACGATATTTTTACGTTTTGTTCTATAACGTAAATCACACGCATCCATATGGTCATTTTTGAAAACTTATGTTTTTAATAAGTAACTAGATAAGAACGTTTGGGCTGTGAGTGTGTGCAGTTTACATTGTAGAACAAAACATAAAAGTATCGTCACGTTATGTTTTCCGCAAGCTTTATTTTACTCATTAATTGAAAAACCCCATTGGAAAATCTCGAAGGAACCCATGGCAAAATTACACTTCCGCATTCTGACGTCATAGTTCCCAAACTCTATTGAAAGATTATTATTCTATAATAATTCATTATTCATAAAGATCAAAGTTTAGGAACATTTGTTTTGGGAAAATAGGTTGGTTGATGTCAGAATTGCATTTGAGGAACTTTTAGGTTCCCAAAGCTGTTATTAAAATAATATTCAGTACTTAAAAAAAATGTTTCAGCCTAGATTATAAAATATACAATATTCTAGAAGTTGTTTCATTCATCACATTTAAAAATATAATATAATCATATATCAATTTTCATTTGTGTGCATCACTGAAAGTAAATATTTAATTGCAAGTGATCAAAACTGATGCAGTTCACCGAATCTGTTAGTAATGGCACAGGTAATTGTTAGTAGCTGGAGTCCATTGGGAAAATTTATGAGATGCAGGAAATTAATGGTAAATGGTGACCTTTCAGTCGGTCATTTCTCATTGCGTAGCGACTTCATGGGAAATGTGCATGCAAAAGCAGGTTCATATACAAGCATCCTCTTTTCTAGTTTAAGATCTGATGTTGTCTGCTAGTTTTTCTGGAATTTGAAACCGGAATTATTTCCATAGACCGCACAGCTGTACATTTCTGGGGGTGTTAAATTAATTCTTTGGCTTCAATACACCGTTTTTTTGTTGTTTACGTTATTTCCAGTTTTTCAACGTTGTTGTGACAACATTGTTATTAACGCCTGTAAACCAGGTAAATTTCACACAGTGTCCAAGCATGGATGCTTCCAAGAAAGCAGGTGCTATAAATACCTTGTTTACATGGAGCTGAGCAGGTAGTCTGCCAGACTATTGTCTTGAATCTGCAGAAGAACATAAACTTGTCTTCTTCCTGTGGTCTGCATATGCTCATGATATCAGATGATGAAAAATGGCCAGAAACAGTCTAAACAAAAGCCATCTGCTACGTTTAGGTGCATGACATGCCTCATATGCTTAGAACAGTAGTCCCACCACAAAAGTGATCGTTTGGTTAATAGCACACTTTTTTAACAGAAGAATTCATGTCTTTTAATAAATTCTGAGCTTCACATTTCTGGCTACATAAACCTTCTGGACACTTCCATTCTAAGTTTTTAACCCTAAATGCAGTTTATGCTGTTGAATAAGCTTAACTCGGCATGGGACATTCCTTTAAAGATTACATATGTCCATTTCTTTGAGAAAAATGTCAAAGGAAATGTCTGTAATCCAATCAGAGTTAAGCGTCCTGTATTACCATTGCTTTGGCTTCAATCTGAAGATCTAGACATTGGATACAAACACAGAGGGACTCATGCACAGTTTCCATCACACTCTGTCTTACACTCTTACAGGCGAGACGGTCGCAGGTAATGGAAGACTGTTGCCCAAGACACTCAAGTGCACAGATGAATTGTATCGGAGGCTAAAATGCCATTTTTGTTTTCGTCTTGATGCTTATTAGCCATGTTTGAAAAGCCTGTTTCCGCCAATAAATAATCAATAAAACAAGGTAATTGCGACTTTTTATCTCACAATTCTGATTTTTTTTTTCGTGCATGTTTACACCTTGTAATTCCGACTTTATTTCCCATAATTGCGAGTTTGTCAGAATTGCGAGAAAGAAATTCAGAATTGTGAGATAAAGTTTTCTCTTTTTATTCAGTGGCAGAAATGGTCTCCCATATGTTTGACTCTTTTCTAACACACAAAAAATGACCTAACATGAAAAGTAGCTTGTTGAAACCCATCAAATGTCTGTATTTGGCGTAATCTGGTAAAATGATTCAGTCCCATTGATATTCAGTTGATTCAGTTTTAATTATTGACTCGGCATAAGATCTATTACATGAATTTACCTCCTTTCACTAACCATTTGTTGAAAAGGAAAGAAAAATCTTTTTTAAGCCCTGTTTTGTAGAAAGTGTCTTTTGTTATGCGTCTTTTTTCGTAGTGTAACAAAGTTAAAAAGTTAAATTGTATAATACTTTTCAACTTTTTTTTGGATCTGCCCAAAATGAGGCTTTCCTAAAAGTCAATGCTGTGTCCAAGTTTCTCTATTTTTTTTCCCCACCCCTCATTTTGTCTTTTTCATGTCCTTATCACCATGTGGATAACCTTACTCAGTGGGTCAGGAGACATGTCCTCTAACAATAACAATTTAGTCTGGAAATAGTGTGTTGTAGCAACACCTGTGGTGTTTCTGCTTTCTGTTCTTAGACACTGGATGTGAAATGACGAGAGGTCAGGGAGCAGAGAAAACTCACCTGCTGATAACAGTTTTGTTTTCTTCATTTATCGACCTGTGTCTGTTTTTCCATTTTCTTATCTTTTCTTTCTCTTCTCTTCTGCTCCCTTTCTGTCTCTCACGCTGTTCAGCATGTTTCTGTTGCTTGTGAGCCAAACATTTGAGATTTGTGTGGAATTTTTTCCAGTGTGAAGAGTCATTATAAAACACACACACAGTCTCTGTTCCTTTCATACTCTGTGTCCATGTTTGTTACTCTCTCCTGCCCTCTGTGGGAATGAATCGATCTATCGATCGTTCGTTCGTTCGTTCGTTCATTTGTTCTGTCGGTCTGTCTGTCTTGTCTCGTCTATTTGTTTGTCTGTCTCATCTGTCTCATCTATCTGTCTGTCTTGTCTGTCTGTCTATCTATCTATCTATCTATCTATCTATCTATCTATCTATCTATCTATCTATCTATCTATCTATCTATCTATCTATCTATCTATCTATCTATCTATCTATCTATCTATCTATCTATCTATCTATCTATCTATCTATCTATCTATCTATCTATCTATCTATCTATCTATCTATCTATCTATCTATCTATCTATCTGTCTCATCTGTCTGTCTCATCTATCTGTCTCATCTATCTATCTGTCTGTCTATCTATCTGTCTATCTGTCTCGTCTGTCTCGTCTGTCTGTCTCATCTATCTGTCTCATCTATCTGTCTCATCTATCTGTCTGTCTGTCTGTCTGTCTGTCTATCTGTCTCATCTATCCGTCTGTCTCATCTATCTGTCTGTCTGTCTGTCTGTCTGTCTCATCTGTCTGTCTCATCTATCTGTCTCATCTATCTGTCTGTCTCATCTGTCTCGTCTGTCTGACTGATCTATCTATCTATCTATCTATCTATCTATCTATCTATCTATCTATCTATCTATCTATCTATCTATCTGTCTATCTGTCTCTCTGTCTCTCTGTCTGTCTGTCTGTCTGTCTGTCTCGTCTGTCTGTCTGTCTGTCTGTCTGTCTGTCTCATCTATCTGTCTCATCTATCTGTCTGTCTGTCTGTCTGTCTCATCTGTCTGTCTGTCTCATCTATCTGTCTCATCTATCTGTCTCATCTATCTGTCTGTCTCGTCTGTCTGTCTGATCTATCTATCTATCTATCTATCTATCTATCTGTCT